GTTCTGAAGGCAAAAGGGGGTCCAACCCGTTACTAGCGTGGTGTACCTAATAAAGTGGCCGGTGAGTGTATATTCCAATGCAAAAAGATAGGTTGTCATTCTTTTCCTTATGTAGGCCTAACTTTGAKATCATTCATTTGATTTTTAAAATTGCAGTAACTCTTAGTTAAAATAAAATATAAATGAAAAACATAAAGAATATTATTAGTTTGTTTATTATATTGATTAAGGAGAATCAAATGTTACTTTAATCATTGACCTTAGGGCCTAAATTCAATTTGACTGAAACAGAGTTCTGGTCTCTCTGAAGGAGGTCTTCTGAGACCAGGGTCAAACACAGGTCCCCCTCGAGGTGACCAAATGATACCTTTGTTAATGATGACAGCTACAAAACCTCCTGACATCCACCAGAGACGGTGTTAGCTGAAAATTATCTCAGAACACCTTTACCAATTATTATTTAAATGCATCTAAAGACATACTGCGAGCTTATCCATAAAAAACTCATGAGTCTTTTCTAATTTTAACCCTTGTGTTTCTTAAATTAACGCTAGCATTCCCGTGACGTCCACAATTACATGATAAAAAAAAATGAGCATTTTGACAGGAAACTTTGACAGCACAGCTTTTCTCTTTACTGGATACACCTCAGTCACATTCACATTTTCTCGGCTTCATGTTTCACAATTCACCGACACTCACAAGGAAAACTGTGCCCACTGTCTCGGTTGGTTTGATAAGGATTGCGGGTCTGCTCCCACAGACGTCCTGTGTGTAGCCTGTCTCTAACACTGACGCTAGCTTGCTAACTAAAAATGTTTATATTTATATAAGATCTTGTTTCATGACGGTGCGGCCGCTTACCTGACCTTTGACAGGAATATTTACTCCGTGGTGAAAAAAAAGTCCATTTTKTTGTCCACTAACAACGCAGACTTGATTTGTTTCTGGGACAAATTTATATTTACTAGACTGAAAGGTTTTCTGCTGCTGCACACAGCCATGACACACGCCCATGCAGTACGTCATCACTGGTGTTGCCTTCACGGGCCGCTCGTAATACACAGAAGAGATTTCGTTTTGAGATATTTTCAGTCCGTTTTTGGTTCCAATTTACAATTTTTAAAATTTTGTATGTACTTTCTATTTTCTTGTTTTCAGTATAGCCACATATGATTGAGAAAAGCAATAAAAATTAAATTTAATGGGGAGCAGTGACAATTGAGAAAAACTGAACATGGATCTTTACGGGCTCCATAAATCATCCACAGCTGCTTATTGGGGGTATAAATAACTAACACTGGTTCTGTTCAATATTAAATTTAAATGCAAAAAAATATAATAATTAAGACATCAAACTTACTCAGATCAGAAATATATAAATAAAATTTAAATTATTACATAATGATTGATAATTAAACATTTGCCCCAGTTAAAGTATCTAAGATATTTATGAACTATCACTGGAAGGTGCAGTTTTACTACCTTTACCTTTGCTTTACCTTTAGTTTTGCTACTTCTTCTAAGCTTTTAAATTTTGTAATGTTAATTTTAGCTTTTACTTTTACACTCCAGCTTTAGCTTTAACAACTTTCAGTCTTTCACTCATCGTTCACGCTGTTTTTGCACAAAATTGCGATTTCTCTAGTTTTTGTTTCCAAGATCACATGATATTTTTTATCTATTTGTTTTTTATGTCAAACTGCTGTTTACTAAGCTTATTTTGTAAATGATAGCTGCTGTAAATTCTAACCAGAGCAAAATACATTTGAATTATCTGCATATATATATAT